GCTGAGCCATCTGGCTCACCCCCAGTCCCTGCACTTTTCCATCACACTCATCTCTAGTGAGCCCCAATTTAAATTCCTTCCAATTTAACAGCTCCTGAGCTAAGGTCCTTTCCCCCCTTCGGCACAGGTGAGACCAGCTAAAGCCATTTCTCCAATTTTCCATTCTTTGTTCTATATATATATATATGTGACACACACGCACACACACACACATTTATTTTTTTTTTAATTCTGCTTAAGTTTATATCAGTCACGTATTCTATGGCCTTTGTTCTTCCTACTCATCATCCTTTGTCTCTCACTCCAAGTGCACTTGACTCACAAAACACAGCCCAAAGTAGCAGCAGTCATAGAAAATAGCACACTGGGAGCAAGCTGGTAATATTTTCCATATGTTGCCCAAGTGAAAGTCTGGCACCAACCCTGTAAAACAAGGTGGAGCTACTTTCCTGCTTCCAGGGCCCAGCCACCACAGGTAGGCAGGCTACACACACTAAAACCAAGATCACAAGTTCAGCATTTTTAATGACAGAAAATCATTTGGGGAATCTGCATCTGTAGTTTGTGCTTAACTGATGTTTACAGTACTTACAGCCTAAATGATCTCTGATTTAATTAACATTTGCAATCGATTTCACAGAATATTTATCATTCCATTTTGTGCAGGAAAGCAATATCGTCACACAGACTAAATATTTACTGCAACTTTAATGGAAATCTTTGCTTGATTTCTTTTTTTTTCCCCAAATTAATGTAGAATGAATATTGACTGTATTTCAGGAGTTTTTCTTTTTCTAAGACAGAAATTCAGCTGTAAGCAATTAGAAGCTATTCTGTAAAAATGAATGTGTTCCTGTAGGAAGACAAATAATCAGTCATCAACATGCAATATTCTCTGAGGACACTAGAGTAACTAACTGACCTAGATATTGCTGTATTTTGCTGATAAAGGCAATTTCTGAAGCACCAAACCAAGCGACTAAGAGACCCAAACCATATTTTTCAAGTGCAATTCTTGTACATATAACATAAACAAAGAATAGATGAGTTAAACACAGCATCAGCACTCAGAAGAATGACAAATGAGAATGTAAAGACACTTTTTTGTTTTTTATCACATTATCGGAGCACTTACAAAAATAAAAGTACCCTTTGGGCACACAGACCAGTATTTAGTATTTTCAGAAAATTTTCTGAAGTTGTTATAAAAGGAATCATAGCTACACTTTAGTATTTCTAGAAAGGCCATAATAAAGAAGCATAATATCTGATTTGCAATAGCTCTGTAAGTTAGTTATGCTTTCAAAGTGTCATGAAATTACACTTCAAGAATAGATAGCTACATAAAATGCTTTCTCTTTGATCAGCTTGTTTACCCTATTTGTACAGCATAAGCAAATATAGACGTGTATTACAAAGAATTTCACTATTTGTCACTTCTTACTTACAAAATTCCAGTTAAAAAAAAAAACGTAGAACTCTATTTGTACTTCCTAGCATTTTCTTTTTCATTTAAAAAAGATAAAAAAGAAGCTTTGTCATGTATTTTTTGTAATAAGTAATAAAAATGAGTAACTTTTACACTGCTATCATTTGCCAAAGAATCTAGACTCACATTTGACTGTGGCATCTAAGATTTCTCTACAGAAGCTGAAATTGATTCAGCTGCTCATTTAAAACTTTGAAATACATTTAAATCCAACTTAAATTCAACCGAGCTTGTATTTCTTATATATGCACACACAAACAGTACTGCTCCTATGCCTGGTCCGGTGGTTGGCGACCCTGCACATAGCAGGGGGTTGAAAGTAGGTGATCATTATGGTCCTTTTCAACCCAGGCCATCCTTTGATTCTACGATTCTGATTCTACGTGTAATGACCACAGAGGACAATGTCCTAAGATCAAAGTCATATCAATGTGCTATACTTTTCATTAATTAAAACTGTACTTAAAGTATATATGCCAAGGCCATCCAGCTAAAAATTCAGAATTTCAGAAACAATCTAGAAATGATATAAAGCAATATAATTTCTTTGCTTTAACCAATTATCTTCTTGTTCTGTTCAATCTGATCATGACTTAACTTTAGGATATAATACAAAAAATGAGAGTCCATACTGGAGGCATAAAACAATGTATTGGACAACAGTATTGGAGCTGCTGCACACAGAAAGGTAGACTGTCCTTTTTAAAATGTAATAAAAATAAAACTTGTACACTACAAGGCATGTAGTTGAAGGTATCACTACCTTTCCTGCAACCAAAGATAAAATTTACCACTCTTGAGACTCAACTGAGTCAATTTTAGAGCTGTAGCACACTCATCCTTTTAAAACAGACAACAGTTTTACCTGCCACAATTAACTAAGTTCTGTGTCCATGCCCATATTCTTCTCAACTTTGTTTTACTGAAGTACTGTACTGAAATTCTGAACTACCTTTGGCGGTGCACTCCTTGCCCTCTCACCCAGCCTGGTTGTTATGTCCAAGAGCAAGTGCATACGACGAGGTGCAAAAGATCTTGTCTTTGTGACCAGTAGCAGTCAAGGCCTCATGGAGACAGTTAGTAACCCACCACATTGACTCAGACTGAGTGCTTTGAGAACTGATGACAGGCACCTAGCTCAACAGATCCAATTCTAAGTTGTATGACTATGAGTCAATCATCTTACTCCATAAATACAAAGCAGCCTAAGAATCCTTTTTGAGAGTTCTTCTTGCAAGCAGCTGGCTGCACACCAGAATCTCCCCGAGTACAGACACCTCTCAAGGTTACTTAATGCCTGTGCAGAGATTTACCGAGGATATGGTGATGCACTCCTGACAGATTCTCAGTAAACTATATAGCGTTTTTGAACTACACAAGCTTTGCTAAGATTTGATATTAGATTCACTATGCACACGGCCACCACCCCCCTCTGTGTAGCAAAGAGTCAAGGATATCTAGCCACTTCAAAACTTGTTAAGTGGCTGTCACAACTGTTCAAATTAACACATTGTATCTATTTCACATCAATAAATATCTTTTTGTCTTCCTCTTAAGAATGAAGTGTGCAGTGCTTTAGCCCCCATCCATGACACTAACAAAAATTTAAATCTTTTTTAAATTACTTACTAGTCACAGGGACCTGGACAAGCTTGAAAAGTGGGCCCATGTGAACCTAACGACATTCAGCAAGGCCAAGGGCAAGGTGCAAAATCTGACATTTTCAAAGACCAAAGACCTTGGAGGCAACCCATTCTCACCAAAATCTGTGAATGAAATTTGCCAACCCAAGCGATGGGTCAGAAAGCCAACACTGCTTTACTGTAGCACAGCAGATTGCTCCTCCTAGCACATATACCCAAGATCTAAAGCACACAGACTGTGTACATTTTAAAATGTGAATATTCCACAAAGTGCCTCCCTATTCCTAGAATTGCAACACATACTGTAAGTTAGTACTTCTCATGCACTGTGTTAACATAGGATTTTTGCAAAGAGGTCTTTGGTGGTTGCAAGGTTCCACTGGAAGGTGTTGTCTGGGTAAAAGGTCATGTATTATGTAGGCCAGGTCCCATATTTGGTCAAGAACTTTACAAAAAGGCATGGCTGCTGACTAAGTTTCTGATCAGTGTGTCAACTTTGTTATGGTGCCTATACTATCAATCCCATGGTCTCTGATCGTATCCTGCTCAACCAAAGGATAGTCTTCTGTTCCTCAGACTCACTCTCTTCCTCCAGGGTGCAGGGTTCCTAAGGGGCAATCTTTGTAGTGAAGACAGAATCAAAGAAGCCATTCAGTATCTCTGCCTTCTCAGCATCTCCTGTTACCAGGGCACCCACCTCATCAGTAGTACACTCACATTTTCCCCAGCTTTCCTTTTACTGTTAACACACTTAAAAAAACCTTCCTTGTTGTCCTTGACCTCCTTTGCCAGACTGAATTCCAAGTGGGTTTAAGCCTTCCTCATTGCATGCCTGCACGCCCTGACAGCTTTTCTACATTCCTCCCAGGTGGCCAGGGTTTTTTTCCACATTTCATAAATTTTCTTCAATGCATTGCAGGAACTGTGCAGGCCTGGCTGTCTTGCAAGTGGAACAGATATCAGAACGGTTAAGGTGTCCTGCAAGAACTAGTGACAGGATCACAAAGCTACTTCCAGGTGTCCGCAGAAGGCCTTATCAACTTCCTCCTCCTGATAAGGTAGCCTGTAGTATACATCCACAACAGTGTCACCTATATTAAGCTGCTCCTTAAGTATCACCCACAAGTTCCTCCTTTGATCATCATTCACCCCTTAAAGTAAAGCTCAATACGCTATAATTGCTCTCTCACACAAAGAGCAGCTCCATCACCTCACTTTACCAACTTATCTCTCCTAAATGGGACATACCCATTCATGACAGCATTCCAGTCATGCAGGCTTTCCCATCATGTCTCCATGATCACAGTGAGATCATGGCCCTGTGACTGCACGCATCTCTGGTTCTTCCTCTTTATTTCCTATGTTGCATGCATTAGAACACAAGCACGCTAGGGAAAAAGAAGAATTCTAGAGGAATACAAGAAGATTTCATGTAGGCATACTAATTCTTGGGGTGTCTGGCCTTCTGGCTTTTTTCATTACAGGTAGCTAAGGAACATCTGTTATTTTTACTGCTGCCTTTCTTCATTCCCTAATTAATTGCAACGGCACAAGCACTGCCTTTATGGACCCCAATGACTCATATATCCTCAATACATTTAACTTCCACTTGAAAATTTCCATAAAAAGAAATTGTTTTTAAAGAACATTACACGGATTTAGCTGAGAACAAAATCAGTACTGAAAGGAATACATGCTGCTGGGAATTAAAAAAAAAAAAAAAAAAAAAAGAAAGAAGAGTAACTACAAATAGAAGTGGCAGGGTTAGATACTACCTGAAAGTTCCCCACTTCTCATTGACTTCAATAGATTATTACCAAAAAGATGCAACAGAAATCCCTTTAACAACAGTTCTCTCAGTGACTTACCAACTTCGCTGCTTTTCCATAATCAATCCATCTGATGGTTGCAAAGTTTGTTGACTCTGCACAGTTGAAGCCATGGTTAAATCCTGCATGGTATCCATATGGGAAAGTGATCATAAATTCCCCTGCCTCTTGTGTAACCTGTTGCATTAAAAAAAGAAAGTGAAGCGTTTTACAAAAACAGTTCTGCTCTTGAACCAATTAAAATTACACTGTTCCTTTACCGTTATTTAGATAGAAAAAAATTTCTCCTTCCACACAACTGTCATTTCATAAAATCATAGAATTACAGAATCACAAGGTTGGAAAAGACCTATAAAGATCATCTAGTCCAACCATCCTCCCACCACCACTGCTACCACAAGCACTAAACCAGATCTCTCAGCTCCTCAACCAGATGCCTCTTGAACACTGCCAGGGATGGCGACTCCAACACCTCCCTTGCAGGCCATTCCAGTGCCTGACCATTCTCTGAGAGAAAAAGTTTTTCCTCTAACCTAAACCTCTTCTGGTACAACTTGGTACTTCAATAACTTTAATACATGTAGAAATGCAATGCTTGAGACAATGTTATTTACTTTAACTGGAATACCTCCTCAGTATAGCTTCATGTATCCCTTCACAAAATCAGAAATTACTTTCAAAGAAGTAAATCTTGGAGGTGTTTTCTGATAATATGTGGAAGAACAGGGAGCTAGAAAAGACAGAGGAAAGAATGTACCAATCTTCCTGAGAGGGATCAGAGATACAATGGACTGAAAATATCCATAGTTATCATCCCTAAGTACTAGAATGCAATGAAGAAATTATTCTGTTCACCACCCTCAAGATGATTCCCTGAAATCGCACCAGAAGTATTCTGCTATTCTTGGAAAAAAACCTTATCCCCAGCCTTCTCTCATACTCACCTGAGGGACTGATTAGGCTTTTAAGCTATAGTGATGATCCAGCATAAAATAGAAGAAACTAAGTTAGTGAGCCTTGACACAGAAAACATGTTTTATACCAGTGGAATATACTAGAAGGAAAACAGTGAAAACACATTACATTATGTTCACCTGAGGCAGTATCTTCAGATCACTTTGTATAGGAAAGAAAACTACCAATTCCACTGCACCAGGCCCTAATTATTACATTTATTAACACATAACAGGATTCTTGAGCTGGATATACCATGCAGAACATTTGAACTTTAAATTGTTATTTTAAATGCACAAGCATTACTTCAAAATTAAATGTAATGTGCTTCTGTCCTTATCCTCTTTCTCTATAGGCACAGTTTAAGAGAGAATAATTCTGGTACTACTTATGACCATAACTCCACATACTTAAGTACAGGTGGCCTCAGAGAAGATCCTCAAAGAGGAATAGCTTAACTACACTTAAGATTTGGTACTGCATTAGAAAATAAGCAAGGGTAGTTCTGAGTCATTATTCTGTTATTTCCAAGTACAGCAAAGAGCATTCAAAATAAATGCTTGCTGAGGCTACTGATTCAACAAGAAATTACAGGTAGAAGAAAAAGAAGAAGAAAAAAAAGCTAAAAATACTGTGATAGTAACTGTATTTTGCACAGTCTCAAAGAAACCAAATTCCTATCAGTTACCAACACCAGACATAAAATTCTTCTAGAAGAAAATAAAAAAATAAAATAATTAAAAAAAAAAAAAAAGTGGGGTAAGATAAGCAAAAGATTGGTCAGGATATTCTCTTTCACGGTGAAAAACAACCTCTTATCTTCCCACACTTGGATGGACTGGTGCTCTCCTCCAGAGCCGAAGAAAAATAGTCAGCACTTATTCGTCACTCACTAATATCTGTCCAGGAGATTAAAGCATCAGTAAAGACCACCAAAGACTGTATCAAGGACAAACTAGTCAGAGACTAGAAATGGTACAAGGTCTCCTCAACCATCTGACAAGAGTTAATCTGTAAGCTAGAAGATTCAGAAGTAAAGGGTCAAATGAGCTTTACATGAAAACAGCAACAGAAGACAGCACCACTAAAAAGTAATCTAAGTTCAGCAGATAATCTGAGTAATGATGAATGTCTGCTCAAAAAATTGTATTCACTGATTACAGGGAAATAAGGAGACTTCCTAGAGATGAAATAGATTTATTTTCATTGTATGACAATGCTTTGCAAAGAAATATCGTATGATTTTAAGTAGCAAAAATTGAGAGACTTGAAACAATTCAATAAATCAAAATCACATTTTGAGACATTTTTCTAATAAGAATCTGTTTTTGCAAGCCCCTTTCTTCTCTTTCAAAATTTTCATCTACTAGTTGTTAAAATTCCTTTCTTTGCTTTTTACGTGTGGTGCAAGAATAAGCACAAAGGTTTAACACTTCACCAATTGATAAATTGCTGATAGTCTTATGCAAAGAGGGAGAAAAAAAAAAAAAAAAAAAAAAAACCAAGAAAAATATGCTGAGCTGAAATACAAAGCATTGAAAAATTGTATTTTACATTTTTCATTTGCATTTTGCAAGGTTAATATTTTGAGGGGTTCATACGTAGCATATACATGCAAACACAGATACAGATGCATATATTATAAATGCTACTATAGTACTTCAACAATCACTGTGGGAATGTTTAAGAAGGATTATTCTCAATGCCAGCAATTCCAAAATTTATCTCAATACACCCTCCCACTGCTGACAGTTTAGCAGGTGTTCTATTGCAACAAGCACCAGTTCAGCTGCCACCTGGTAGGCGTAGGCTGTCTTATCAGCGTTCAGCACATTTCCAGTTCTATCACTTTGAGCCATGAGAGATCACAGCCTGGTTTTCTCTATTCACTTTCTCACTGAATCCCATTAATTACAATTACACTTGGGTACAGACTGCTTCTTCCCAACACTATTTGACAGAACCAAACTTAAAATATTTAACTATTTCTAGCACTTTCATTTAAAAAAACTGAAGAACAGATTCAATCAATACAGTGAATTAAGAACATCAGATCCTTTACCCACCCCAAATGTGTGGTACTGAAAACAAACCAGCATTCACCAAGATGCTACCTTAAACACTAACCACCAAAAATTATACTGTTCAGAGTAATGTTCAGTAAATCCAACATCATAAATCGAGCTATAAAACCTTCCTGTTTGGAAGGATACATCTGACACTTCTGATAAAGCATAAGATTATGAAGGGAATCAGTACTTACCTGTATATTACAAAGCTGAACTCGGCAGCTACAATGACAATATATCATTCAGAAAACAAACTTTTTATGTAATTTATTCAAAAAGCTTGCTTTCCAAGGCAGGCTGTATCATTCTAAAAGCCCACATTTCTCCAGTTTTATACATATGTTAATTTAAGCATAAAAATAGATATAATCTTTCAAAAGGCAAGAACAAATGAGTGGCGTCATACCATACAAAAATCTACCTTACTCTCTGCTTCTGTGCCTTAAGAAAAATGCTGCATTTCCCAGATGCTTTTTTAATCAACCTTTAACCTTCTTAAATTTGTATCTATTCAGTTTTACCACAAGCATATAACTCCTAGTACCAGTTCCTGTTAATTTAGTAGTAACTATTGTAGTTGCAGACAATGGAGTAGATACTTGAGAATATTTCATATTGTTGGCAAATCTCTCTCAAGACATAATCGAGAAATAATCTTTAATTGTATTTACTTCTTGAACAAGGGATTGATTTCAGATGGTATTAAAGGCTAAAAAGTGCATAATATATTATATCACCCTACCAGTTCTGAGCTTATTTCATATTCATTCACTTGAAATACTGCATGCTGTATTTCTTATCGTTATACATAATATATAGAAAAGCATAATTCAAGCAATTCCATGGGCTACATTTAATACTGTTAGATAAACATCAACAAAAAGAGATGGGAAGTATTGCATAATCTAGGAAGGGGAATGTGGGAAGCTAACTACATATACAAAGGCCTATATGGTATCAATATACAAATACACCCTGAAATAAAAACTTCAACAATAAACAAGGAGCGTGGTGAGGACAGTTTAAAGGACTTTTCCGCAGCAAGACAAGAGTAAGAATTGTAACCATTAGTTGATCAAAGGGCTTTTAAGATATTAGAACAGAAACAGATGTTCAGGCAGGAGACTGTGAATCAGAGTGTACTCTTCTGAGCCAGCTTGCAAAATCTTTTCATTTAGAAATTCAGAATTTACAAATTGTTCAGGATACAGAATACATATACTAAGGTGAAAGCAATGTGGTGAAACACTTTTACTAGCTGGCACCTGCAGGAAGCTCAAAATTCAACAGAAAATGTTGAATGAAAAAACAGAAAAGAAAATTTTGAGGGTGACAACAAACAGAATATTTCAGACATGTTTGAAAGCAATCAAGTTTTAAATTTATCCACCAAGAAAAACCCCAAAATTTATTCTTTCCACTTCCTACTAACAAAGTTCCAGTACGCAACTACCCAGCACTACAAAACAATCATTCTTTGTTTTTGTCATGTTTCAGCTTTTTGTGTATTTTAAATTAAATAACAATTCTTTCAGTTTCATTCCACTCCGTAAATAACCTGAAGCTTTTTTTATTTTACAACCTGTACAGATGTACTGAATCGCATCAGAAAAACGATACAGAAACATTTAAAAAATAAAGCATTTGTTCTAAAATATTAGGTATACAGCTACCAGTACTGCAACTAGATAAGAAGGGTTTCAGTCACTAGACAAGAATATACCAGGCTCGCATGAAAACTGCACAAAATAAAAAATAATGGTGATCTATTAAAAGCACAGACACTGTCAGGTACAGACTTTGACAACTGCAAGCAGTCATAGTGTCTCTACTACAAAATTGCAACCTAACTCATGTAAGAGTTCTAATATTGCAGGCATTTGTTTTCCCTGTTTTAGGGAGTAAGGGCCTAAAACACACGTTTTTACCTCAGTGTTACTTCTACTATAAAGAATCTGTACAATAAACACAGTGTAACTCGACACATGAATGCAGTTTAAAAATAAACACCAGTGTACCTTGTCAAAAGGAATTCCGTACTTTTTCAGTATTGAGGGAGAAATCAGAGTCATCTTGTGGCGAAGAAATGCATTACATCCATGAGAGCTGCTTGGGAAGAATCCTGGTGAGGGAAGATAAGCAAAATTGGGTATCTTTTAATTAAAACAAGAAGAAAATTTTTGTACCACACTACATAAAGTCAGGATTCCACAACAATCAGATTTACTAGCACTTGAAGATCATACAGAGCAAAGAAACAAAACCTTCTACTTACAAAAAGCCCGAAAGCGTGGCATCATTTTTAACTATTTCTCAAAGTTCAGAGAGGTTTTTTTGGTGTTTTAACAGCAGCTTTTCCATTTTGTTTTGATTCTTGCTTTTTTGTATCTGATTTTGAATTTCTTGGACAAAAATTGGTGTGAAGCTATTCAGGTTTCAACTTTCGTGATTACTTATGAACTAATCCACTAAATCCACTTAGTTCATTAAGTAAAGATAAAATCCAGCTGGTGAGTACATGGAGATGAATGAATGAAGGGAAAAGCAAAAAAAAAAAATCCAAGATCACGTTTCAGCACCACTAAATATCAGTATCTCAGAAAACATCAGTTTCACTTACCCTCAACCCAAACATACCACAGCAAGAAAACACTGTTACAATAAGGGAAATGGGGAAAATTGAGAAGGACAAGGAGGGCAAGTTTTCAAAACACTCCATTAATCCTTCCAGACTACATTATGGAAAGAACAACAGAGTCTGAAAAAAGAAAAGGGCATAGTAGCTAACAACAAAATGCCCATGAAAAGTTCAGATTGAAAAATGAAGGAGTACAGTGAGAACCATTTAACCAGCTGCTGTCTCTGCTCTCAGCCCCCATTCTACTTAAGTACAGATGCATGCCCCGCTCCGAAGTAAGGGTGACTCTTGCTGAGGAAGTGAGGAATGCTTCTGGCTGTATCATAATGCAAGGTTACTCAAGTTTCGCAGTTATAGCACTAATAAACCAACAGAACTGGAATGGCTAAGGGAAACAGTTCTTAATCAGCAAAGATCAGAAGCTCTTGCTTATTTTTGCAGTTATCAAAAAGATAGTATCTATCTTGACAGTCTTCCTGGAGTTTGTACCAGATTGCTACCAAGAATCACCAAGAGAGACAGTGTAAATAACAAATTCACATTTAGCAGTCCTGGAAAATGTACTATTTTACTGTATCAGTCACAAAGCATTTGAAAATAAGCCATTTTTTTGTGAAGTTGAACTTCATTAATTTATTTTGCTTTCTTCTGGAGAGCGTATTTTGCAATGTTGCCAAGACTTATTAACACCAACAGCTCACTCCATTGTAGGTCACTTATTTTCAAGTGATTTCAGTGACTTCAGAAAGCCTCATGGGCTACTATTGGAAAATAAAATACTCTCTGAAGTAATTATTTCAAAAATTTTTGCTTAACTTTGATAAAGTGGAATTAAGGCACAAAGGAGCTCACTATCACAAATCCACGGGAGAAAACTTAGCAAACAAGCAGAAAGAAGTGATGGTTCCATATCTTCGCCTCTAATGAGTTCTCACTGTTAAGTGCATGACGTTTCACCACTCCAAAACACACACAGGGTGAAATTCTACTTTTCTAACTAAATAAATACTAATTTGTCTGATTCCGCTGAAAACTAACAAACAAAAAAGTATATTGAGAAGGAAAAGAAATATATATTTAAAAAAGCCACTTCAGGACAGCAATTTTATTTCTGTGTACAAGAAAAATGTGTGTAACATATATAGCACTATCTTTCTACAGGGAAGACCTGTCCTGAGAAATATGGACATAAATTAAAATGAAGCAAATGGTATTAAAAGTATACATTACATTTTACCAATTTGCATCACAACTAGAGAGTGGAGAAAAAATGACAGCAGCCAATTATGACACCAACCATTATGACAAAGTCTCCTTAATGACAGCAACAAAAGTAATATAGAAAAAAAAAAAAAAAAACCTTTTTGATTAATTTATGCACAAAATAGTTGATACTGTAAAAATAAAAACAATCTCTGAGAGAGATCCAGGTGGATAGATTTGCTAGGATTATCCAAGGTGTAAATATTTGTCCATAGGAAATACATTAACCAAGAACACTGTTCAAATATTCCCCCAAATGAATTTGTAGAGTTTTACTGAAAAGGCCTTGTAAATGTTTGAAAGTATCAAGAAGAGTTCACTCAAGATGTATGAGAAAAATTAACACAACAACAATTGTGTTGTAAAAATTAACACAACAACTATAAAAATACTGTTTTTATACAGTAGAAGGACTGACATTGCTTTACTGCGTTTGCACAGGCAGTCCTTCCAATAAAAAGTTCACTTAGGCAACAAAGGTGTAACATACACATATGTTGGCAGAAGTATTAAGGACTCTTAGGATGTCCTGAGATCAAATTCTATTAAAGTGTGTCAGACTTACTTGCAATTACCATGCATGTTTTTTTACTTTACTGGAATTACAAATTATGCTAGCTTAAGTTTCAAGCAGCAATTTTTGGAGGGTTCAGTTTCATCACATAAGTATGCATGACTTCATTAAAATAAAAGATAAAAAAGGAAACTACTCGACTAATAGTTGGCTCCAGTGCATACACTTCAAATACTTTGGAACAATTAATATCTGTAGCAATTATAATAACCGCAACTTGCAATTGATAGCCTATGGCTCCAAGAAACCTCAGACCTGAGCAGCATTAGGAAATAATAGACAAAAACAGACTGAAAGAAAATGATCAAAGGTGACACTTGAGACTGAGAAAATAACTGTTACAAAAAGCAACAAAGAAATTCCATTTCCAAAAGCAAGGAGAGCTTGACTGAGTTGATTCTGCATGAGCAAACAGAATTTGTACCAAATTTTGGTACAGCAGTAAACTTAATTAGCTCAACAAATAATGTCAGAAAGCAAATGATGAGCAAGTAAATATCCAAAACTTGAGTTGTACCACTACAGCTCTAAAAGATGAGAAAGAGTTGTGACAACTCCAACCACAAGGTGAGCATGCTGAATTCTAAGCAAGCTGCAAATAACACTCAACAGCAGACTACAACCTGCTGAGCATCCATTAAGAGAAAATTACAGACAACATCTGTAATTACAGTGCTCTCTAAATGAAATCAAAGGTGCTGTTGACACTTTCCGTGCTGCTATAAAATATTTTTCCAGATTCTTTCAAACTCTACACTTGGACACACATATTTTTCATCCTCATTCACAGCATTTTCTCAGAAATGTTCCTTTTCAATGAAAGAGAGGAAAGGAAGGTGTATGTCCTTGTAAAAGGTTTCATCAGAAGGTCTTTTCTTCTGCTCTGGCTAAAGATAAGGTCACACAAACTCTTCCCTCAGCAAAGAACCCTGCAGGACTAACAAATATAAAAAGACCTGTTAACGTGCTGTAAAGAGGACACCACATAGGAAGCATGGCGAGACCTTTAGAAATACATTAAATGCACAGATTCTCTTACAGCACACTGACATTTAAATAATAGGAACGCCATATAGTTCTCTCTCTCTCTTCATTAACCTATTGTTTTAACACCACCACAAGCATTATTTAAGACAATCTTGCAACACAGCAGAACCAATTCCAAATACCAATCTCACATTATAATTAACAAGTCACAGGTTTAGAAATCAATCCTGAATATGCAGTGAATTTCCACATCCAAAAGAAAAAAAAAAACCTGCAATCTATCTAGAACGTACCAAAATTCTGTAGTAGATTCATGCTTTGTTAGCTACATGAAAGTAAGTACCCATGAGCTCTAAATCAATTCTAATAAAAGCAGGTATTTTGTGACAATGTGCATGCAACCTCATTTTCACAGATGATCTCTTGAGAAGTGGCAGACCTCTTCCATGCTTCTAATTATTTCACATACACAAAGTGACAACTCAAAACAGCAGCATCTCAGGGTCCTGAGAGCTGGCTTACGTGGTTGCTGGGCTCTATTATATTTGAAAAGTTGTGGCTGTCAAGCAAAATCCCCAGGGACTAGAAAAAGGGAAATAGCACTTTCATTTACAGGAAAGGGAGGAAGAAAGACCTGGGGAACTAAAGGCCAGTGAGCCTCACCTCTGAACCTGGAAAGATCATGGAACAGATCCTTCTGGAAGACATGTTAAGGCACATGAGGGACAAAACGGTAACCCCACACAGGTTGCATGGCTTCAGGAAGGTTGTGCCTGACCAGCCCAGTGACCTTCTATGACAGAGGAATGCCATCCATGGACAAAGGGATGGCAACTGATGTCATTTACCTGGACTTCTGCAAGGCCTTTGACATGGTCCCCCACCACATCCTTATCTCTAAATTGGAAAGATATGGATTTGAAGGATGAACTACCTAGTGGATAAGGAATTGGTTGGAAGGTTGTAGCTAGAGGGTTATAGTCAATGGCTCTATCTGTGTTCATGTAGAGGCGGCTAATAAGCGTTGTGCCCCAAGAGTCCATACTGGCTCCAGTACTCTTTAATATATTTATCAATGACAGATGATGGGATTGAGTGCACCAACAGAAGGTTTGCTGATGACACCAAGCTGAGCTGTGTCAAGGTGACCCCAAATATGTATACAAACTGGGAGAAGAACTCCTTGAGAGTACCCCTTTGGAGAAGGGCTTAGGGGTCCTGATTGATGAAAAACTTAACATGAGCCAGTAGTGTGTAAATGCAGCTTGGAAAGCCAATGGTGTCTTGGGTTCCCTCAGAAGAGGAGTAGCCAGCAGGGCAAGGGAGGCGGTTTTGCCCCTCCATTCTGTCTTTGTGAGGCCCCTGCTGCAGTTCTCATCCAGGTTCAGGGTCTCCAACACGGAAAGATGTGTAGATTTTGGAGAGGGTCCACAGGTGGGCCACAGAAAAGATCGCAGGGCTAGAGCACCTCTCCTACAAAGACAAGCTGAAAGAACTAGCCTTCTTCGCCTATGAAAAGAGAAGCCACAGGGAGACCTAATTGTCTCCTTTCAGTATTTAAAGGGAGTTTAAATCAGGGGAGAAATCAACTTTTTATAGACGTAGATAGTGACAAGACAAGGGGTAAGATTTTAAACTAAAGAAGGGGAGATTTAGATTA